TGAACCTGCCAACACTGGACCCATGACCTAGGGCCTGTGCTGGGTAGAAAGCCCCTACAAGCTGCAGCCTGACACCTTCGGGCACTTTCTCAGCCTTCCTAATGCTGTGACTGTTTAGTACAGCTCCTCGTGTTGAGCTGCCCCCAACCATAAAATTATTTCATTGCTACCTCTTAACTGCAATTTTGCTGCTGTTGAGAATCGTAATGTAAGTATCTGCCGTGTAGGATATCGGCTATGCAACCCCTATGAAAGGGTCGTTTGACACCCCACCCCCACCCTCAAGGGTCACAGCACACAGGTTGAGGACCACTGATGTACTGTGACAACCATTCCGGCCTCCTAGGATTTTCTTCATACTGGAAGACAAGAGGACACGTGGAGGCACCCAGGGCCCTGGTGTCATGTGGGGAGGCCTATAATACATGTATTCCTGTTTGCACCCCAACACATCTTGGCCCTAGATAACTAACTTGATTCATTATTTTCCTGTCTACATTAAAATGATTTCTAGAATACAAAAATTGTTTTTTAAAAGTTTTGTGGTGGAAGGAGACTCAGGCGCACAAATGTTTGTCACTGACTGTGATACAGCCTTGGGTGTAGCACTCTTGGGGTTAGGGGTTAAGTTTTTTTTTAATTACACAGAGAGAGAGAGACAGACAGACAGACAGACAGAGACAAAGAGAGACAGAGAGAAGGATTGAGCTTTCTTAATTTGTTCGTATGTGTGACATATGCTGGTGGATGCCAGAAGTGGGTGTTGAATCCCTTAGACCTGGAGTTGCAGGTGGTTGACGACCTTGGGTCCTCTGGACTCAAGTGCTCCTAATCAAGGAGCCACCTCTCCAGCCCTCTGGTGGCATGTGCCACTACAACAGAGAGTATGCTGGAAGGGTTTCGTAGCATCATTTTCGGAGCTGTTTTAGCTGGGTTAATCCTGGATGAGAAGGAAAAGCATCCAGAGGGAGAGATGGTGGAAGAAGAGGCTGGGATAGAGCAAGGAGATGGTACAGAGAACAGTAGAGATGGGCCAGCTGTTGGGGATGAGTGGAGATGGTACAGAGAACAGTAGAGATGGGCCAGCTGTTGGGGATGAGTGGAGATGGTACAGAGAACAGTAGAGATGGGCCAGCTGTTGGGGATGAGTGGAGATGGTACAGAGAACAGTAGAGATGGGCCAGCTGTTGGGGATGAGTGGCGATGGTACAGAGAACAGTAGAGATGGGCCAGCTGTTGGGGATGAGTGGAGATGGTACAGAGAACAGTAGAGATGGGCCAGCTGTTGGGGATGAGTGGAGATGGTACAGAGAACAGTAGAGATGGGCCAGCTGTTGGGGATGAGTGAAGATGTTGCTAAGAGCCCCCCTTGAGGAAACAAAGATAGAACTTTCCGTGTATGAAATAGCTAAGATGTCGAATAAGAGATGATTATTGAATAATTACTGTACACTCACAGAGTGAGAGATATAAAACAAAAACCTTTTTTCAAAAAGTACAAAAGGATAAGATGTAAAGATATGTTAACAAGAAAGTATTAAATGTTCATATGAGCCCGGTGCTCTTATCACACACACACACACACACACACACACACACACACACACACACACACACACACACAGAAGCAGCAATGGAAAAAGCATGCTAACAACAGCAATCATACTCTCTGGAGAATAGAGTATTGCTGTCAGCAGTTTCCATCTTCTCTAGAATGTATATGAAATGTTCACACACACTCACACAATACAACACTTTTTTCATGTTCCACAAATTCTGGTGACTTTTCCTACTCTGTTTGAAGTGTGTGTGTGTGTGTGTGTGTGTGTGAGAGAGAGAGAGTGTGTGTATGTGTGTGTACGTATGAGTGTGTGAGTATGTATGTGAGTATGCATGTGTGTATATGAATGTGAATGTGTGTGTGTGAGAGAGTGTATGTGTATGTACATATGAGTGTGTGAGTGTGTATGTGAGTGTGCATGTGTGAGTGTGTGTATGAATGTGTGTGAATGTATGTGAGTGTGTATGTGTGAGTATGTGTATGTGAGTGTGAATGTGCGTGTGTGAGAGAGTGTATGCATGAGTGTGTGAGTGTGTATGTGTGTGCATGTATGAGTGTGTGAGTGTGTATGTGAGTGTACATGTGTGAGTGTGTGTATGTGAGTGTGAATGTGAGTGTGAATGTGTGTGAGTGTGTGTATGTGAGTGTGTGTGAGAGAGTGTATATGTGTGTACGTATGAGTGTGTGAGTGTGTATGTGAGTGTGAATGTGTATGTGAGTGTGTGTGTGAGCGTGAATGTGTGTGTGTGTGTGGCCCCTTTCTGCTGACTCTGGGCAGACAGATACGACTGTTATCAAGAATGATGTGAATTATTACTACGTGTTTAGGAAGACAAGTTTTCAGGTCTCTCGCGTCACCCACGTTGGAGCCATCTGGTCTGTCCCTTTCCAGATGTGCATGAGAGCACTAGAGATCAGGCGGCGGGAGCTGTCATCTTCAGCCTGGGCTGTATGACATGTCTGGGATCCACTTACTTATCTTCAGAATAGGTCAGTAAACCGTGATTTGTTAAAAAGAAGAAATGTGGAGTTTTGTATATGCTACGGGGTGTGATGGGTACCAAGTTATCGATACCAGCTCCTGTGGACTGAGTTTAACCTGGCAGCACCATTCACCATCTCCTGCCTCCCGCCAGCAACCCTGGACAATATCTCGGGTCCGTTATGTCGGGTGTAGGCTTGGGAAGCAGTCTTTGTAGACCCCTGAATGAAACCACTGCAACTTTTAAATACGTGCTGTTGATATCACCAGCAATACAAGAATATAAAAGCAACTTACAAATGTGTTTAACCTGCTTTTAATCCCTAGAGTTCTCTGTAGTTCAAGCTAATCATTCACTTGTTCATTCATGTGTTCATCCATCCACTCATCTGTCTGGGGAGGGGTTGCGCTATAGGTCAGGTCAGGGGACAGGCAGTGAATGACTACGGCGGACAGTGTTGTGGTTTTCATTACTATCCCACTTGCTGAGCAAGCAAATCAAGAAGCCCAGGACCATTTCCAGTGGTGTAAATGCTCTGCAGATGACAGAAGCAACTGTGTAAAAGAGAGTGCTGGAGTCAGGACGCAGACACTGGTACATGGGGTTGGCTAATTTCAGAGGGGGACTGAGAAGTCCTCCCTAGGAAGGCAGCTTTTGCATTGCCACTTAAAATGCTCAGGAGACATCACATGGGGGGAGGCTGGAGGAAGAACAGTCCAGGAAGAGGGGGTGTCTCAAGGGCAGATGTCCTGAGAGTTGGGAGAAGCCTGGGGTGTTAAAGGGGATGTGAAAGCATCTGGAAGAACAGAGAACGAGGAGACAGGGGAAGAACGAAATATGGACAGGGCCTGACACGTGGAGGCGAAAGGTCTAGGACTGCAGCCTTGGCCACCTGCTTCCTGCTAAGGTGTGACTTTGGGGGCGAGTCAGGCTTTTCTTGACTCACTCTCTTTCTTCAGGTGTACCAGGTGGTAGAAGATCTCAGGGTATAAAAGGCATTTGGTAAGGAAGGTGCTCAGTACATGTGCGAGCTGGCCACCTGCTCAGGCTGTCGGCATGTGCCTGGCCAAGGGCTGGCTGCTGGGGAGATAGGAATGGGGGAAAGTGGGGCGTAGGAAGACAGAGCAGGGTGTGGCAGAGGAAGGTAATGTGTACCCCAGAGGAAGGTTTGGTGTCTGTAGTATGAGCAGTTGATGGAACCTTGGTGGCCTTGGCGTTTGATACTTATTTCACTTTTTTATGGGGTACATCTGGACTCTTAGTGAGTCTTGTTTCATTTAACCCATGTACCCCACTTCCCAGAAGAAGCCCCAAGCTTGACAGGCTGTCCTTTACCTACTTAGAGCCAGCATCTCTCGCTCCCTTGTTCTGTGAACCTAGCTGCCGTTTGATTTGTCTGTGGAGGTTTAACTTTACAGTGTCCTGCAATGCATTTGGCTTTCTGGGCCAGCAGGCAGGCTTCTGGTGCATTATTCTCTCCAGAAGCTGGAGGGAGCTGAACAAGGCCACGTGGAAATGTTTGTCCTGTCTAGGCCACGGCCTATCTCCATGGCTCATCGCAGACTGAAGAGAAGGCGTGTGTGGGTCACTGATCCAGCCATGGTGTTAGGTCTCGTTGCCCGAGACTGATGAGAGAACTAGGAAATGCTGATCCACAGTTGGTGGTGGATCAAATTGGTGGTGCTCTGAGATGGCTACTGTAGCTGGTTGCCTGTCAGGACAAGGGGTGGTAGCAGTTATGCACCTTGGGTTCTGTAGGGACAGGAAAAGGAATCTGGAAAGATCGCCTGGCTTTCACTTTTCTGTCACTCTGCTACCAGAAGTGGGCAGTGTAGAAGTTCTCCCCCTCCCAGCCCCAAGGGCCACTGTGGAGACCCACAAAGGAACTAGGATTGACAGACCACCAACAGACAAGCTTGGGCAGGTACTCCAGGACTCTGCAGGATGCAGTGGCTGTCTCAGCATTTCCCTTCTGCTCTGGAGGCTGACACTCAAACCCAGAGGACAATGTGCCATTCTGGCCTGGAGGCCAGTCGCTGCTCCGTCCCTCTCGATGTATGACTTTGTACAAGTCTCCTGGCCTTTCTGAGCCTGCATTTTTCCTCCCCCTGCTATGGGCCAGCAAAAAATATTCCAACTTTTAGGAAGAACCAAGTTGTGACACACACACACACACACACACACCCATGTGCCTAGTGGTCACACATCTGCCCTGCCAAGCTTGCCCATGGCTCCAGGCACCTGAAGACCAGCCTGTGTCCCCAGCCAGCTGTTTGTCCTGGCTCAGGACTCAGGGTTTGTGGCCTCCTTTCCTAAATAATGCATTAGCTGCTGTCTGGGCTTTGCAAACAGAGCAGCCCGGACAGCATGCATTTGTGAGCTCTTGACTCAAAGGAGAGGGGAAACGGGCTTGGAGCAGCTCGATAGGCACGGGCCACCAAGGAGCAAAGCCTTACCTGCCTTTTGTCCTGGTGCTCTTCCGTGGAGCAACTTTTGTCACCAGGCAACAAGAGTCTTGGGACTTGGAGTTAATTAGCATAATCCTGAAGCCAGCCTACAAAGTGAAAGGACACTAGGCTGAGTGTCTCCAGGATACCGGTCTCCCCGGGAGAAGAAACCTGATCTGGGACTCTAACCTGTGACTCCCACAGCTGGGCAGGGTGGGGAAAGAGGGTAGGGTTTCCAGCAAAGAGGCTTTCCATGGCAACCGCCCCAGCAGACGCTGAGCAGTCCACATAGCACCCTTTAAGGGGCGCCTTTGCAGTAGCGTTCAGCCCCAGGAGCTTCTCCATTCCCATGTGTTTGTGGGTCTTCCTGCTCTTCCGTTGTGGGGAGGGCTGTCTTTCCTAGGTTTATTTACTTGAATTTATTTATTTTTCTTGCAGTTTTATTTTTTCTTTTCACCAGACCGGATCAAAGCACCCTCAGTGCTCGTGAGGTCATACAAGGGTCCAACCACTCTCTGCCTGTGGGCTGTTCTCAGCGAATGCTGCCGTGCTGTCTCTGGGATATGTATCTTAAACTAACGCACTGGGTCAAGCATGGCGTCTCCTGTTGGTGCTGCTGTGACACCATCCCGGGAGGGAGGCTGCAGTTCATATACCTGTGTGTTTACTGGCTCCCTTTTCCAACTTGCGTTTTCCTTTAGCTCAGGGCTTCTCAACCTTCCTAATGCTGCAACCCTTTAACACAGTTCCTCATGTTGTGGTGACCCCCCCCCCCCGCACTATAAAATTACTTTCATTGCTACTCCATAACGGCAACTTTGTTACTGTTATGAATTGTAATGTGAACATCTGTGCTTTCTGATGGTCTCAGGCAACCCCTGTGAAAGGGTTGTTAACCCCAAAGGGGTTGTGACCTGCTTTAGATCAAATTTCTCCTATTTAAGAAAACCAGCCAAACAATAAGTATTAGTGTTATTCTGCAAACAAGAAAACGACAGTGTAGGAATGACACGGAGAAATAAAAGTTAACATTGTAGATTCCTCTAACTGAACACAAATTAGAAAAAAATAGAATGGCTATCAATTAAGTAAATGTTTTAAAATTCATAATTAGTCTATACAATAAAATCTTTGGAAAATATAGAGGAGCAAAATGAACTAATTTTAAAAATAAAATTCAACATTAAATAAAGATCTTGATGGCATGATACTACTATTTTATGTTTTAGTCTAAAGATAAAGATAATATAAATTGCATTGCTGAATTTATACAATAAATTATTCAATTGAATTATAAATATAACTAGAAAAAGTTTTAAATACTCAAAATTTTACTGCAGTATATATTTGTAATCTGAATATATATATATTGATAAATAGTTTAGGTTAGAAAGAGTAACTTAAAATTCATAAAATTAAGATAAGTAAAAACACAAACTCAATAATTTTCCAGAAAGAAGATATACAAGGAGGAAAACATCTTTAAAGGACTGATATGTAAAGTCTTATGGAAAGGAAAGCCAGGTGTAACCCTGGAAGTTGTCAATGCTGTGAAACAGCCGTTACCTTCACTTACGATGAGAAAATGGGCCTTAGTGAAAAGTCAGACAGTCGATGGGACATCCGCATGATCAGGATCAGGCCGGACGGCCATCAAATGGTATTATGAGGTCTGGAACTGTATACAAAGTGTGCGTGCCAGGGAGGTGGCCGAGGAAGCCATGAGAAAGACCAACCGTCCACTGATCAAAGGGACAGTCTCTAGTTTAGAAAAATAGACGTGTAGGATTTGTGGATTTTTTCCTCTTCTTTTTTTAAAGACAGGGTCTAACTCTGGAGCCCAGGGGAGCCTCAAACTCTGTGATCCCCCTGCCTCAGCCTCCCCCATAGTGGGTTTATATGTGTGAGCCACTATGCCAAGCTCTCCTCATTGATTTCTATTGATCTGTTACCAGAATCTGAAAATTGGGGTTCAGAATGACCTGAATTTGCTCTGGGGGCTCAAACACCAAGGCAAGTTGGAAAGTAGGCTTCCAATGCCAGTCTCTTGGCTTCTTGGTAGGTGACTGCTCAAGGCAGGCACTGTCCCCAGCACCATTTAGCACATTCTTTTCCTGTTGAGAAAATAGTCTCAGAGGTAGATGCTTGGGAGAAGACTCCAGATTCCCTTCTGGATGGAGAGGATACAGATTCTAGGCAGGCAAGTATCTAGCAGAAAACTCTTGATCTGAGGACTAGACCACCACCTCTGAAGGCCCAACTCTATGTAGCTCTGCGGAGCCCTCTAAAGAAGATGTAATTTCTTGGAATACAACTGGGTACCACTTACCACCACCCTTCCAGAAAATGGGCTCCCAAGTGCTGTTGGGATGCTGGTCTCCCAAGAAAGCAGAGTCGAAGCACAATTGTGAAGCAAATATAGAGCACTTGGGGTCTGGAAGACCCCCAGAATAACACATGATCACAAATGGAGAAAGCTTGGGTGGAAATCTCAGAACAAAGGAGAATTTGAAGTGGATCCATTATGTAGCTCATGAGAGATTGCTCTTCCATCTTTGAAAGTCATCCAGAAGACAGAGAATATTGATGTCTAGGGATGGACATAGATAGATGTGGCGTCTTCTGTGGGGGCCAGGCTGGGCCACCTTCAGGCTAGACAAGGTCATACTCCTTCATCTTCATCAGCTTCATTGAGTCCTTCTGTTCTTCTAAATTCAGCTCCAAGTTGCCCAAAGGACCCAGACTCATGACTGGTAACTCCATTCAGACTCCCAGTGAACTATGGGCATCAACACAGTTGAGAAAACTGGTTATACATTGTTCCATAATTATGTAGAAGGGCACCAGCAGGATGGAGCAGGTCTTCATCAGAAAGCAGGTCCTCACTCTTGCAACCACACTCTTCTTCCTTCTGGAGTAGAAAACAGCCACCCCTCTGTGCTTGACCAATGCCAGTGTCAGTTAGTACCCTGTGAGGGAGCCTATGCCCACACTTGCTCTCCACGCTCCTGGGTAAGTGCGGCTAGTGTGTTGGAAGTATAAGGACGAAAGGTTCAGATATTCTGGTGTCTGTGGTAATATATTATTTATGATTTATTAAAGCTTGTCTGAGGATTCAGAAAAGCAAAGGCAGCCAAGCTATAGAGATCAGGCAGTGGTGACACACACCTTTAATCCCAGCAGTCAGAAGCTAGGAGGTGGTAGTACACACCTTTAATCCTAGGATCCAAGGCCACTCAGATCTACACGAGTGAATCAGTCTAAAAGAGGATTATAGCTCACACCTTTAATGCTGACATTAGGGAGGCATATAAGACAGAAGCAAGGTCTCAGAGATGCATTCATTCTCCAGCCACACTGAAGATTCAGTCTGAAGGCATTCAGTCTCCTGCCAGGCTGAGGAGAGTTCTCGGGTCAGCCCTTTCAGCCTGAGGCAGAGGCAAGGATTAGTGCTTGGCTGCTTTGCCCTTCTGACCTTCAGTTTGAAGTTTGAACTCCAGTATCAGTCTCTGAGTCCTTTTATTTATTCATGTACAGGTGTCCCTGCTGGGCCTCTTAGTCAAAGGTGTAGAGTGAATGATTCCAGGTTTCCTCAACTCCAAAGCCATATCTTTTCCCATCACTGCCGCTCCCAAAACTCAGGAGGGCTTTAGAAAGTCGAGAGCCACCTCTGATATTTAATTTGCTCTCAAGCACACTTTATTATGATTACACAGTTTGTTAGTTAGAGAAATGATTTTTGTTAATCACCAGGCATGGGTAGCAGTTCCATGAACTATTTCAAGAGACAGACTTACTTTTACAATATATGACTGAGAAATAACATGTTTAAAAGCAGAACTCACTTTTGGTTGGATGTCTTGTCACCATTGGTAATGGCGTTCTTATCTGATGGTAGCAAAAATGGTGGATCTTCCTTGGAGCTCATAGCCGATGATCTGGGCAGGTGGAATAGCAAAGGCCCTTCCCCTCTCCAACATCATTCCACTTGAGAGAAACCTCACAAACGACCACAGGCAGAGTTCTAGAATGTTTTCTGAAAGTAATGATGGCAGAGCTCCTGCTCTCTGAAAGACCACACTTTACCCCAACTTTTCACTCTTCTTTCCTATTAGGAATAAAAAAGTAAAGTTAGAAGGTGTCAGCATACCAGGTCCACATGCTTAGGCTCTGGAAGTCTCAAAACAGACAGGAATATTCCTGAGGGTTCAGAGTAGCAGCGCTCACTGTTGTTAGCCTAGCTCTGCTCTCTTCTAAAGTCTCAGGGGAGCCTGTCCTCCAGGAGGAGGTGAGGGCAGGTGAGGGGGGTGAGGGCAGGGTCAGAGAAAGAACCTGACTACCAAAAGAGGCTTCACATGAGGCTCTGCAGCAGGTCCTTAAGGCTGAGAATGCTTTGCCCAGAGTTACTTGTTTTCCTGGAGAAAATGGACCTCATGGAAGAGGTGAACTCCAGCCTGGGAGCTGTTCGCTTGTAGAAAGTCTATCAAGGGAAAAACAGAATGTGGGGGGGCACTCATGGCAGATGAGGCAGTAGTGGGGTTCTGACAGGGGACAGGTTTGTTCCAGCTGAGGTCAGGGGTGGCAGGAAGTCATAGCGTGGCAGGTTGCATTCGTGGGGCTGGCATTTCTGATCTCTCCATCAGAGGATGGGCAGTCCGAGGAGATGTAACGTCTTTGGGCCTGATGGAGTGTCTTGAGCAGAGACCTGATCTTGGGGGTGGAATGGAACGCTCATGGAGATGACATGGAGGAAAACAGGTGGCAAAGGAAATGAAGGGACAGACAGCAATGAGGCTGAAGAATTGAGCTTGACAAGTCCTTGCTGAATGGCGGGGGCCAGGGCTCCATCCCCACACCTTTCCCAACGTTGTATTTTGATGGACTTTTCAATCCATTCTTGGAGCTGGGCCAACTACTGCTATCTCCTTGCTTCTCTTCGTATGTCTCAATTGCAGAAGTCTTAAAAGATGGTGTAGCCTTTTAAGAGAAGCATTTGACAATATGTAGCAAAACTGAAAATGTTCCTTACCTAGTAGTGCCATGGCGAGAAATTCACCTGTGTGTCACAGTTCTGAGGCCATGACTCAAACTCAGGGTAATGTGAGCTGGTCTCTAGGAGCCTCATTGAACACGTGATGTGGGGGGGGAACCTCGTGCATGTAACCTGAGTCCATGTATGATCAATTAAACCCAAAATATGCAAGCATGTGGACATACATACGGCAACAGGTTTTCTGCACCAACATGCCTAGAAACTGTCAATCAAGCTTATTGGGTTCAAGCAGTAGTTTAAAACCTATGTTCCCTCATGGTGTTCGTATGTTTTTCCTGAATCATATTCATATTTATATTCAAGATACATATTCAAGAACATGCATGGGGCAAGGGAGGCTAAGTAGTACATAGCCTTGAGAATCCAGGAAGGACCATGATTGAGGTCCATGACCCCGCCCTGTATGTTCTGGGGACATATCAGGTTACACTTAAGCCAGGTGTGTTCTGGAATGTTTATAAGGATGATGACTGTGACAAGCTACCCTTCAGGGTCATGCAAGAAGAGCCTAGAAAACGATTGTTCTGTGCTGGCCTCTGAAAGCTGTCCCGTGCTTGTGGTAGTCTGGGGGATTTCCAGAATGCCCTGCCCCATCCCCAATTCCCCAGGAAGCCCTATCTCCCGTGCTCATGTTCGTGTCTTAGGATATTTGGTCACACTGGTTTTCTGTATCACAGGAGACACCCAGGTTTCGATAGGACCATGCTGCAGAAGTGGCAGGTACAGTCATTCACCAGTGGTGGTGGTGGTGGTGGTGGTGGTGGCAGCGGTGGTGGCGGTGGCAACGGTGGTGATCGTGGGGCCCCCTGCAGGATGTAAGCAGAAAGGAGCCAGTGCTGGCAAGAGGAGGTGTGCCACATACTCAGGAAGGAATTTGGTGCTTTTAATTTGCCAAACTCTACATCTTTCTCTGACAAGATCTCAGGGATAGAAGATTTGTCTCTGAGCACTGGAGTAGGAACTGGAGGGTGCATGGGAGCCTCTGAGTGCATACATTTTCCCCTCCTTGAGGATGGACACACATACACATGCTGGGGAGAGGGGGTGTCATACATGTCACTTCCTAGGAAGACACGCATGGCTCTAGCACAAATGAGCCAGCCACTGGTCTGCGTCCCTCAGTGAAGAACAGACCCCAAAGAGGTCAGTCCTGCAGATGTTCCCACATGTAGCCCCTGTCTCCATTCGTGCATGGTCAGCTTTAGCCAGAGAGCCCCTGGGTGTTGTCCTAATAGAGCAGAGAGGGAGAAAGCCTTTCCCAGAACACCAGAGGGAGAGTAATAAGGGCTCCTTTCTCTGTAACTCCCGTCTTTCAGTTCAGTTTTCTGACGGTGAAAGGGTCAGCTATGGGGGTCACCCCCAGCATTGGTTCTGGCAGCCAACCAGCGCTTGAGCGTCCTGCTTGAGCGTCCAGATGGGAGCAAGCGTCCGCTTTGCTTTGGATTGCTGGTCTACTCTCCTTTGGCCAGCACAGCTTCCTAAAGATGCTTGCTCCCGTTCACAGCAGTGGGTGCTAGCCCGCACTGGCGCTGGCCGGCTCCAGCACAAGACGTAGACAAACAGCCGAGGTGCCGCCTGCTCATTCTTGCCCTGGAGTCTAGGTTTCCTGTCGGGGGCTGAGGGTTAGGTCCCCGTGGCCTCAGAAGGGCATGCGATGTGTTTTGTTTGACAGAAAAGAGAGCTCAGCAATTTTGAATACCTCATGTACCTCAACACCCTGGCTGGAAGGACCTACAATGACTACATGCAGTATCCCGTGTTTCCCTGGGTCCTCGCTGACTACACCTCAGAGGTAGGTGTTCTCCGGGACAAGCCCCAGGGGTCCTGGGGCTTCCCAACCCTGTCGTGAGTGTACAGAACCTTACTGTGAGGTTCAGCTCCCTGGGCCTCAAGGCTGCCAGGTCCTCCTGAAGTCATGGCAGTCTTTACCTGGGCTCCTGCCCCAGGTCCACCAGTGGGATTGTCAATACGAGTGTGGTTGTGTTAACCAATACGTGGATGACTCGAGCCTCAGAGGGCTTCCTGTCACCTCTGAAGGAGACTGCGGCCCATCCGCTGAGGTGCTGCTGCAGGCCAGCATCGAAGATGCTGAGCTCACAGTGAGCCTGTTCGTGGGATTTCTTCCTAGAATCCGTTAGGTGCAGAGAGAGGGAAAAGGAGCTAGAGGCAGAGAGATGAAGAGGAAAAGACGGTCACCCATTCTGTGTGTGTGTGTGTGTGTGTCTGTGTGTGTGTGTGTGTCTGTGTCTGTGTGTGTAAGGACAACTGGGCCATGGAGTAGGTCTGGGCCCTGATGCTACATTTATCAGGGGAGGTGCTGGGCAGTGTGTGAAGAACAGAGGTTTGTGAGTCTTGGGTCAGAGCAGCCTGACCAGTTCTGCCTGCCTATGCTTAGGAGAAAGAGCATAGGGTTTGGAGGGCGGTGCCTGAGTCTCCGGTGTCTTCCCATCCCCATGACAGTGAATGCAGCAGCCACACCTTCTTTCCTCACCGGCCACACCTTCCCTCCCCCCCACTAGTGGTCCACCTGAGACCAAGGCTTTACAAATACGAACCTTCAAAATCCAAGAATCAATCCATACTTGCAAAGTGGTGGTTTGCTTTATAAATATTTTCTTTTTAACACATACCTAGCATTTAAAATTGTGGTTACTTTCCTTTGTTTAAAAATTCGGGGACCAGGGAGAAAGCTCCATGTATTAGAGCACCTTCTGCACAAGCGTGAGTGTCTTGAGTTTGAACCCCAGGCACCCATGTACAAAGTGGGACATGGCTGGGTGTTCTGTAATCCCAGTATCAGCATGGCAGGGGACGGGGCAGTTAGAGAAGGAACCCCAGTAGCCTGTTAGCTAGTCAGTTGTGCCAGAGCAGTGAGCCTCTGGTTCAGTGAAGACCCGTAGATGCTTTATGTCACACATGAGGACATGGGCACCTGGACACTTGCATGCCTATACCCTGCACAGGCAACACACACACACACACACACACACACACACACACACGCACACACACACACGCACACATGCGCGCACACACACACTCATATTCACAGACACAGGCTCACACACATGCGTACACACACTCATATTCACAGGCACAGGCTCACACATATGCGTACACACAGACTTCTGAGCATCTGGGAACTTGGGGGAAAACAGGAGAGCTGACAGTCACGCTCACATACATGCTTACACACAGACATTCATACACACACACCCCCACGCACACACACACTGGGGACACTGGAGAAGTGTCCTGAGCATCTGGGAACTTGGGAAAACAGGAGTACTGGCAGCCATGAACCTCTCCCTGGAAACTGAGGAGGGGATGCTTCCCTTTTGTCCTGGCTGCTTTCTGCCAGTGTTTGAGGTTGTGACAGCACTGTCCCTTGATCAAAGGGCTGTGAGTCAGATGCAAGTTCAGGGATACTCAGTATTCCCACTGCCCCCCCCCCACTCGCTCCCACCCACAGACCGTGTCTCTGAAGACAGTGAAGTCCTTCTCATCCCCGCTGAGGTGAATTCTCAAGTCAGGAGCAGGGGCAGCATCATGTCTGAATTGTCCCTAAGATGGTGGACCTCAGAAAAGTGAGCATGTCCCTCTTATTCTCCCTGCCCCCCAACAAATGACTTCTAGCTTCCTAACAAATCCGTTTGACTCAAAGCAGGCCCCTGAAGTATTGCAGTAAGTTATTTGGTAAGGGCAACAGTTAAATCTTGTAGGCAACAAGAATTCTTTTGAGAGTCCCTTTCCAGAACCTGTTGGTTGTTTTCTGATTTGGGTCAAGTTGGAACAGGCTCAGCTTGATCCTGATCTTCCTTCCTCTCACTTCTCATCTCCCCCTATTAAGTCTTCCTGGATCACTGGCTTCAGGGCCATAAAACTCCAGGTAGCCAGCTAATCACCACAGGGGTTCAGACCAAATGACAATAAACCAATAAAGGGAGCCATAAAACTAAAGAGCGTGGCTCCTGGGGCACCAGGGGCCTGGGGGAGTTAACTCAGCTTCACATCTG